GAGAGTAGTAAAGGTCCGTTCTCACTATGCGTCCCAGCTGAGGGGTTGGTCCTTTCGTAGCAGATTTGTTAGAGGTCGTGCAATGGCAGCAAATCCCTTGATAAATCGACGGCAATACGATGACAGTCCCAGGAGGGTTCGAACCTGCGTTTACGACGTGGGAACTAGAGCGTCTCTGACAGCCGTGACTTTTCTCGAATCGGGCCTCAAGCTTTCGTGTTGTCGCGCGCGGCGGTCCCGCGCCCTGATGGGGAGCGCTGAACCTCACGGTCGTGTCACACAGGATGTTTTGTCTGAAAAGAATCAGTCACCACTCCGACCGTGCGCGCGTGCTATACCTCTCACGACGCCTTGCGACAGGTCGGGACGTCGCGAGGTACAACTTACCTCCACCCAAGGGGTTGTCACCACCCTTAGGTAGGCGTATCTCTGTTGAGCTACCGACCCACATGCGAAGGCTTTTACATGTCTTTGTTAAGGTACGTCGGTCGAGGGCGTTTTCTCAATCGTTGTAGCACAAAATGGGGTACACGCGGTAAGACGCCTAGAACTGACCCGTTAGATATTCAGGTCGAACTTTCGGAAGGCCGTCTATTTCCGCATCTACTCCCAAAACATATTATTCTTCTAACCACTTCGATCAAAGTACTAACCAAACCCTTTCACTACCAAGGACATTTTATTCCACTTAACATATGACTGATCATCAGATAGTATAAAAGTTATACAAGACTGATAATGAATATGGAGGTATTACTGTTGGAAACCCTTCCCACTTTCACAAGTACTATGTATCCAAGATTCTTCACGAAGTCAATCCCAGTGCAATCCAAACTATGCACAAGACAAACCTACACAAAATAATGCAAAGACAATCCACATGCCATGCACTAACGAAGTCAACCATCAATCCACACCTTAGACATTGTCCCTCACTTCCCAAACCATGTATGGCAACTCTATATTTCCTTAGATGTAAGCCCAACCCCCTCACATTTCTTCAAAGGACCCTTGAGAGTGCTTAGGACCATTTAGGCAATGACCACAGGTGACAGTTTTACTGACCACACGGTTTGACTTTAAGCGTGGGTATCAAGTCAAGGGGGAAAAGTTGAATCGGCAACGACCGACCTGTTATCGAGAGATAACAGAAAATTTGAGTCCTCTTTGTAGGACTTCTCCTTCAATTGCAGTAGATCAAAACATAGACCTGCACACATACAGGTCAACAAAGATTCAACACCCCCACTCGATTTCCCACTTATTGATATCTAAGGGTCAAACCCTTAGATCTGGTCTGTGAGCTTTTTCATCAACATCCCAAAGTCTAACCCCCTAGCTTCTACCTACCCTAAGTCGTCTGTCACTCTTCCTCATTTTGTTCAAGGAGTCTCTTGCCTATGTCCTAAGTTGTCTTAGGGAACTCATATTTCTCCTTACTCTCAGTACTTGCATTTTCTCTTTTGCGGATAAGCACACCCTTTGTTGCTTACGCGGTAGTCTAGCTGAGATCAATTCATGTGATTTGGCGATTTCTCCCTTAGGAGTCTATCAATGAACTGAGGCTACGTGGAGCTTCTTCTTTTCTAATTTTTTATCCCCACGATATTTGTCTCTTATTCTGCTTCTTTTTATGACCTTTGGAGTCGCTCCCGCTAGAGCACTCCCTTTTTCCTTTCTCTTCTTTTTGTTCAGACATACGCAAGTAGTAGATAGATTCACCCGGGAATCTTCCACTACTTGATCAATTCCAGACAAGACGGTTAGTCAGATAAGTAGTCGAGTAGTTCCGCAAGAACACTCAACCACTCTTCAAAGTTCATGCAATCCTCATGCAATCAAGCAGTTCAAGCAATCTTGTGCAAGCGACGGAATAACTCACAGGGGAGTATCCCTTTATTAGTTACAACAAGTAGTTGAGAAGGCCTTGTCGAAGCATCTCAACACTTGTTCCAATGTCCAAACATATTCCAGATTCAGGTATCAATACGAAATTCAAGTTAGTAATAGGTGGTCTTCATGGAAGCCTCCTTTTACTCCTTGATTAAAACTCAGCCTATCCTCAAAAAGTATAATAGGATGACCCCACTGGAGTCACTCTATTACTTTCTTAGAGTCAGACGAGCTAAGATTATGTCAGCGGACTTAGGCAAACACTAGATCCTCCCTTTTCTGGAGTATCCTTATCTGGCTTGTTAAGATAAGGCCAAGCAAATAATGGGATGACCCCATGGGAGCCTCTCATAACCTGATTCAATGTTAAATAGATAGGTCGTCAGTAATTATTTATACAATCCATCAGTCATACCCAAACAAGTAGTAGGGTTACTCACCCGGGAGTATCCGAGTCCCTCTACTGTCCAAACACAATCACCTCATTCCTTCCCCCCGTTAGTCGATCACCAAATTAAACAAGTATTAGGATAACCCTCCCGGGAGTTATCCTACTACCAGTTCGATGCGTAGGAGACTATTCAAAACAATTCTTGGTTAAGTCGCCTTGACCGTTCACCTACCTTGCCTATGCATCGTAAATGAGCAAAAGGTATGCCGACTCCCACGGGAAGTTAGACTGATTGTCCTATACTTAGGAATTCGGGTACTCACTCAGTGAGTACTTAATTCCCTTCCATGTCTAGTCAGATCGGCGATAGGAGAGCCCCACGGGAGCCTCCTCCTACCTTCGCTTCTATTAGTCATTGAAGATATGTACCCCACGGGAGTACCGGATTATCCCTTAGATCTAGCCTGTAAGGTAATATAGAAATCGCACGGAAGTTTCGTTTTACCAACGTTGGAGTCAACCAGACATTTCATTAAATTGTTACTTAGTTGGGTGAATGGCAGGGTCTCATATTATTATTATTATTATTATTATTATTATTATTATTATTACTAATGGTTGTTGTGTTTCACTATTAAAACATCATGAGATAAGCAGGGGTCAGAGAGGAGAAGAGTGCGGGCCGGCTTGCCGATTTAGGAAAACCGTGGAAGGTCCCCTCCCAAAAAGGAAAGTAGGAATTCCGCGGACGAACCAGCGGACACGGCAGGGTCTCGGGTGGGGAATTGGTGTGTGGCATCGCACACCGTTTGCAGCACTGCGGGACCGACCTCCATGCGGTCCCAGTGCGACGTCCAAGCACGAGAGGGAACGAGAGGTACAACGACACTATTTTTTTCAGCCTGCCGTTGGGCCCGTTAACGCATTTGCGAAAACCGAGAGGACGATGACGGCACATTGTCGTTGACGTCCAGCCATCATGTCGTTGTGTGTTGTGCCCGCGTAGCGAGCCGTTCGTGACCTGCCATCACTCACGGGTTGCCGATCTGTGGGGGAGAGCTTCGGGACGGAAGGGACAGTGGGTGGCCATAGTCGATCACGACTTTCTGGTGTGACGATTGCCATGGATGTTCGGGGAGGCGGGTTGTATGGCGAAGAGTGCGAGGATACGATGTTGATGGTGGCGTTTTTTATCATCCACTGGATGAACAGACGCAACGCAGCCGCCATGGCGGTCGTGGAGGCTGTTTCGGTGATGCCATTCCTGTCCCAAAACGTCTCCGCTGCGGTTGCACTACTCGCGGGGGGGACGTTGCACTGTTTTGCTCTGGGGCTTTGGTGGCTGAGGAGGTGGGAAGGAGATTGGACCGTCGACGCCGTCTGTGGGTGGTGGAGCGCAGTGGCGGTGTGTGGAAAGACCTCCAGCGAGTGGGGGCTGAGCACGATAAGGTGTTCACACAGTTTTGCAGACTTCCATGCCCTCTCTTCTTGGAAGTTCTGGATCGTATCAGCCCACATATCCAATGTTCGCCCACGATTTTCAGATTGTCGATACCTGGCGGTCAGAATCTCGCGTGCTCGCTCATCAGGTGGGCGACCCGCGGTTATTACAGGCAGTCCTCCCATGGATTGGGCATGGGCCTGGCGAGTGCTTTGCGTAGCAATGTGGAAGTAGCCGACGCCATCATTGCAGAGCACGGACATCTTCTGCGATTCCCGACAGGACAACGACTGGAGGACGTACTTCACAGGTTCGAGAGGAAAGGCTTCCCCGGGTGTGTAGGCGCAATAGATTACACTCATTTGTATATCGAGAAGCCGAAGGGAGTGCGATCAGAGTGTTTTTACCACCATACTGGGGTTTTTTTTGTTGTGGCGCAGGTCGTGTGCGACCACGAGTGTCGGATCGTCCGTGTTTATGTCAATTGTCTGGGCTCTGTGCACGATTCCAGAGCTCTACGTACGTCGCCACTGTTCGAGAATGTCACGGCGGGCAGAGGAGTGTTGGGTGAGGGAGGTGCGATACTACACGATGGCAGACACATCGGCCGATATTTGATAGGTGATCAAGGGTACCCGCTCCTCCCGTGGCTGATGACACCATTCGGCCGCTTTGCTAAAACGGCGGCGGATCGGGCGTTCGATGAGAGTCACAGTGCAACAAGGTCGTGCATCGAGCGGACATTCGGGCTTCTGAAAGTCGTGTGGAGGAACTTCATTCGATGACACATTTGCAACCTGGCGACCATCACGAAGGAGTTCATGGTCGTGTGTATTCTACACAACCTTATGATAGAGCGCAGCGTTCAAATAGACCCGGCGTTGATGGGAGATAGCAGCGACAGCGAGGGGGGGGGATGGTGGTGACGGCAACCTTCAGCGACGACGGTGGCGCCGTCGATTCCACCGCCATCTTCCAGACTTGAACATTGAGGCCTTCCCTTTTGACGAACCCACCTATGGCGGTGACCTTGCGAAGCACGTTAGGGAGAGTTTGGTTGAACACGTGCGTCACCACGTTGCAGTCCACGACGCGCCGCCACCATGCCCGTGGCGGTAGTGCGGCCATGTTCGATCGAAACGTTGTATGAGAGTAGGCGGTGATAGTGGGCAGCGCTTTCAAATGCGGGGGGGTTGCGAAGGGAGGTCATGGGCAGTAGAAGAGTGGACGGGGGTGTACGTGATGTGAGCGTCTTGCGGGCATGGTGCCTTTTTTGCTCCCCGGAGACGTTTGTTTCAAGTGTTTTAAAAATGACCCGCATACATTTTTGTTCCCTTAAGTTCTTCGATGAGAATGTTTTTTTTTTTTTTTTTTTTTTTTTTCATCCATCATTGAAATTCCCTTCTTCTCCTTGCTCGTGAATCCTGTCGCCCTGCCCTATCTAACCTCTCTCTCTCTCCCTTGCAAAACGTTGTTGTTTAATTGCAAAACGAAAATAATAAATTGCAAGACACTGTTGTTCGATTGAAAAACAATGCTGTTCAAATAAAAAACAATTTTATGCAACAACGATCACACCTTCTTCGCTGCCAAAAGCATCGTCACGCACATGCGACACAACACGGACTCGTTCAGTTGATTACGATGGCAAAAAGAAAAAAAAATAATGATGGGATAACCGACGTAATAGAAAATTGCAATCTATGTACTCGGTAATGCATGACGTTTCCACAGAAAACATTCGCAGGCATTCCCATGTGAGCAAACACAAACATGACACGAAGAACCTGATTGATGTCATAGCATTGATACCGGAAAAACAGAAATGCTCATCCTCACGTTTTTTCACAGACGTGACGCAGACAATTTGAATTAAAGCCACTACAGTGGACGGCGTCCGCGCGGGCATTGATTGCTTCCTGCACATGAAGGATTCACCCGCGTGGACGACATCATCATCCTCACCATTATCATCATCATCATCGTCATCATCATCATCATCATCATCGTCATCATCATCATCATCATCATCACCATCATCATCATCATCATCATCATCAACATCATCATCATCGTCATCATCATCATCATCGTCATCGCCATCGTCATCATGACCTATGTCACCATCAACTGTGTCCTCATGACAATCATCGTTGTCGCAATCGTCATCGTCGTCATCATCGTCATCATCATCACCATCATCGTCATCATCGTCATCATCGTCATCATCGTCATCATCGTCGTCATCATCATCATCATCATCATCATCATCATCATCATCATCATCATCATCATCATCGTATCTGCCCATGCAAATACGGCCTGCCAACCAATGGGGGTTCCAGGATGCAACGCCAAAACGGCACCGGATCAAGGCGCTCCGCAAAAACGTCAGCCAGGGTGGAGACGTAGAGCAGGACGATCTCCCGTGCAAGATCGACGGGATGGGCGCCTCCTTCGTTGGGGATCACTTCACCGACCTTCCTGACGTGGATGAAAACATGCCCGAGGAGATTCCCGAAGAACCCGAGGCCCACCTCCATTTTCATCGTCGGGATCCCATCAACGTCCACCTCGTAGAAACGGAATGACCGTCGTGTGACGCCGTCCGCGAAGTCGAAGTGCCGATGCCACAGGCCATCCCGTTTATGGCGCATTTCATAAACCATCACCCCCCTG